AGAACTGTTATTTCTTCTTGTAGTCTGCACTGAAATGGAGCAAAGGATCATGGTCTATGTAGTTCCCTCTGTGTTTTTGTTTTAGCTATTGGTGCACCATAACTCTATATTTAAGCAAAGAGACTTGTAATTCGATATATTGTGATGGTCCACGATATTATTGTGAGAACTTTGAAAATACGATATCACGATATTTCGGTTATTGTTACATCCGTAGTTGTACATTGTGAATAGAACTTATAAACTCATCAAGAAGAAGAAGATGCAAACTGTTTAAAAATTAACTAGTTCTTTTTTTGTGTGTGTGTTTAAAGGCAGTCAAAATCAGGTATAGTGTAGGGTTGTCAAAAGTATCGAAATACTAAAATACTTATCGATATTAAAACTAGTATTGAAACTAGATACTTATTTGAGCAGGTATCAATACTAAAATGTATAAGAGTACATACACTAGGGACGCTAGGGATGCAACGATATCCAAATCTCTCGGCACGATATTATCACGATATGCATCTCACGGTACGATATTTATTGCGATATTTTGGAGAGGCTGATATAATTGTAGATAGGACACTTTTTTGCTTTTAAAATACCCTGACAAGATTTTGATGTGAATTATTACCGTCATAATCCCAAGATTCAAGTACAAACCTATTTCTTTATGCTGTCTGCGCTGAAATGAATCATGGGATATGTAGTTCCCAATGTTTATTAGCTATTAGTACTATAAAACAATGCATTTAAGTAAATAATTTTGTAATTTAATATATTGTGACAGCCCATGGTATTATTGTGAGACTTTTGACGATACGATATCTTACATCCCTACTGGACGCACATACTGAATATAAGACGAGATAGTAATATAAAGAAAAATACTATGATTTAATGTTGAAAATTACATTCTATTGTCTAAATAAAGAGTACTGAGTATTGAGTCTGTTCCTTAGTATCAAAATCAAGTCTGAAATTTTAATATCAAAACAACACTAGTACAGTCTTTAAGGGTCCGCTACCTACTTGTCTTCATGAAGATACTCTTGCTTTGCCTGGAATGTTCCGTGGTATGGCATTAAACATATCTATTTACAGGTGTTTCTGTTGCTCAAAAATACCATAATTCCTTCTGTGAATAGGGGCGACTCTCCATAGATCTTAACTGTAATGTAGCGTAGTGCTGTAACCTGCACATCTCCCTCGCGATAGATAGGTTTAATCTGTACTCTGGAACATTCTAGACGATGCAATAACTTTTCCATGGAGACAAGCAGGTGACGAACTCTCCACTAAAAATGTTACGCAGTACACTTTTAATATTTCGCACACCCTTATTCGGCCGTCCTCAACCAGAGTCTAAACAAAGAGGTTTCTAGTGTGTATTGATCGGCTGTGACCTGTAGTCGATAGCACAAACTAAATCAGATAATTGAAGTGGGTGTCGAGCTAATTGGATTATGGCTTTCCCCCTGAAGAGATGGCCGCTCCGCACTGGGGGATTGCTACATTAGTGTCCGACATCTGTCATCTGGACGCACCTTCACTGCACAAGACCGTTCACACAAGGAGAGAGAATGGATGGATCATAGAAGGAGTGCGAGCGGGGCGTTCTTGCATTGAGTGATTTGAGCTACTAGTTTAAACTGGCTATAGCCGATTTTCTTTTTTTTTTTTTCCCAAGTATCTGAGTTAAATTTGTCTTGCCCCCGGTACAGATATATTGTAAAAGCAGCTCTTATATGGTCAAATGAGACTGCTGTGTGTGCCGTCTACATTATTGTGGATAATTAGAAGGCTAGAGATGTGTTAGGGAAGAGAGGAACAAGTTTGGACCACTGCAATCAGTTTAAAATGAACTAGTTCTGTTTTTTTTTTCCACATAAAAAACAAATGTTGCGAATAGTTATGAAGGGAAGTGAAAATATTTTTGAAGTAGATATAGCTGTATTGTAACTGATAAGCTTAAATATCAAACTGTACATTTTGTAAACTGAAAAATGAAACCACCTCTCGCTGATTTTGGAAAGAAAGATTTCATAAAACATATACACAACTTCTTATCCCATTTTATCCTTTCTTATAAAGATGTGGTGTTTGGTTTTTGCAGTGTGCATCATACAAAAAGTATTATATAACTACTCTGTTAATCAAGTAACCTATAAGTTGTTTTTTATCTCTCTGTTATAAGAGAGATAAATTCAACCAGACACAAGCCCTCGGGAATCTGATTGGTTGACGGTGAGACGTAGGATTCAAAAAGCTAAGCAAGTCCAGTTTTTGTTTTTCGTTCGTTTTAAGTTGCTTATAATACTTGTTGTCCTTCATTTATCCACAGCTACTCTGATGTAGACTAATGGAAACAATGATGCCACCAAGCACCAAGCATTTACTCACACCACATTCATACATGGGCAAGGTGAAGTGTCTTGCCCAAGGATACAACAATAGCATTCAGTCATTGATGCTGGAACAAAATGCTGGTATCAATATTTTATTTTTCACAACCAAAGAACTATAACTCATGAAGGATGAACACAACCTACTGTTCAATAATGAGTCCAGTTATGGTATATAGCAGCATTTTATTCTTTGTACAAAACATACTTTGTAGGCGTAGCTAAATTAATTCATGTATAATCAATAAAAAGATATTAAAAAGAGTCAAATAAAAGGCTACAGAAGAGCCATTTCCCTGGTGTCTACTTGCCTGGAGTCCTGCGCACATGGTTTATGTAAATGAGATGACTATTTGCATAGACATAATTAGGTAATTACAAATCATTTGGCTATGAGCATGTGCACAGAGCAGGGATGTTCCATTGTACAGTAGAGACTTAATGAATGACTCCAGAGCAGCTTGTGTTCAGCATATGTCGTGTCACACCTCGGCTTTCAAAGTGGCAGGTGACATTTTTATACACTTTAGTTAACACGGACGTTCCAAAACCAGTGTCAGAGGTGGAGAATTTTGTATGCCTATAATTAAGACATTGCGCTTTGTTTTGGTTTGTAAGTGTGTTCATTGCACTACTTTGCTATAGAAATCAACTTTTTTAAGATGCACTGTATGAAGCATTTCTGGTTAGGGTATCATTCAGAAGTTGCCGATACGATAAATACCTCAATACATATCTCAGTACTGTGAGCTTATGATTCAATTTTATTCAGTACGATATATTTCAAATCGATTCGATACAGTTCAATAAAAAATAAAGGCAAAATCATGGCTGTGATACTAAAAGTCTTTGTTAAACCTCTTCTTGTGCAAAGTGAATATGAAACACACACATTTTAATCATCAAAAATGTCAAATGTGTTGCGTAAACAAGTTTCCTTCCTCTGAACAAGCAACAAAACTGTAGCGATGCAACAAAATAATTTAGTAAAATATCCCCCAAAATACTTGGCAATATATCGATACAGCAGCTCACGATATCAACACTGTATCATCACATTAAACAATTCGTTATATCGATATTTCATTATTTTTGCACACCTCTATTTCTGGTGAGGGTCCATTCCTGTTTGTCTCTGTGTATATTAGGGTTGTAACACTAATCAAAATATCGTGATATTGTATCGCCAAAGTCTCACAATAATATTGTGGGCTGTCACAGTATATCGAATTACAAACTTCCTTTGCTTAAATGCATGGTTTTACAGTAGCAACAACTTATAAACATTGGAAACTACATATCCCATGATTCATTTCAGTGCAGACAACATGAAGAGAGATGTTTTTTACTTGAATTCTTGAAATTATAATGGCAATAATTCACACCAAAACCTTGCCAAGGTATTTTAAAAGCAAAAAAGTGTCCTATCTACAATTATATCAGCCTCTCCAAAATATCGCAATAAATATCGTACCTTGAGATGCAAATCATGATAATATCGTACCTTGAGATTTGGATATTGTTACATCCCTAGTGTATATGGTAATGCTATGAATAGAATGTTGCACAGTGTTGCATTAAACTTTAGACAAGGAGATGGCACAACCCAGCCAGATTAGAAGTCAGATCTGTGGAGAGGTGACCCCACTCACTGTAAGAATTTTTCAAGGTGTCTTTAGCAATAAAAAAAAAAAAAAAACATTACGTGTAATAGAATGAATAAGATAAATGAGCTTAATGCCATACTGTAGAACATTAGAGGGAAACAATTACATCTCCATGGAGACTAGCTGGTGGTGGCGAACCCCCTGCGAGAAAATTCAAATTCATACAGCGCATTTTAAATGTACCGGTTAGAATGTTCTGATCACATAATTTCAGGTTCAAATATTATCTTTTTGTATTTTGATAAAAGCGTTAAGGTAATACGCTCATGGGACAAAGGGGACAAACGCCAATTTGAATACTTTTCAACAGCTCTACACTGAATGAGCCTTTTCTTTTCAGATGTAATTTTTATATTTCTCTATCTCGCTCAAAGTACAAATTAAACGCTCTTGTGAAATTATGTCTGACCTGACTCATGAATGATGTGGTGTAAGATTGAAAATTACAATGGCATTAAAGGCTATTAGAATCCTGCTGGGAGAAATTAAAGTGTGTATTTATGATAGTCACTTTAAATACTAGTGCTGGGAAATGATTGCAATGTGGACCTAATGAGTTCTGAGTGCTTTTTATTCCTTGATATGTTGTAAAGAGCTGTATAATTCACTTAAACTTCTACATAGGCACATGCAATTCTTTACATAGAGTGCCACTTTTTTTTTTTTTTCAGAACAAGTGATACTTTGGGAGTGCTCTGTCTCAGGTTTTATTTGATTAATCTGAGCGCTGTTAGTCACGCTCACCTTTTTTGTGGAATATCAAACACCTAAACATGACCATGAGCGCTCGTATTACTCACAGGCTCCTGAAAATGTGTTGTTTAAATCTATTTTGTACTTTTTCTGGAGCTTTCATACCCCTAGTGTGATGTGACTACAAGTATCAGTAACTTCTATTAGCTTACACTATACTCATTTCATTTATATTTTTATTTTTCAGAGCAAGAGGATTCGTTCGAGTTCATCATTGTGTCATTGACGGGTCAGACGTGGAACTTTGAAGCATCGACGTATGAAGAAAGAGAACTGTGGGTCCAGGCCATTGAAAGTCAGATCTTTGCCAGTCTGCAGTCCTGTGAGAGCATAAAGAACAAGGTATGTGACACGAATACGCCCGGTGATCCAAACTGTAGATTTAATATGTTCACTGTAGAGTTGTCACAATACTAAAATTTCAAACACAATCTCAGTACAAAGGAATAGACTCAATTTCAATCAATTTCAATACCACAATGATAATAAAAAAGTATTTCTTTAAACTATAAAATGTTATTTTCAACATTAAATAATAGTACTTTCTTTTATATTACAACAGGGAGGGGCAATTTTTTTTTTCATGGAGCCACATAAGAAACAGAAAATATTGTGGAGGGTCGGGCCAAAATTCTTAACTCATTTCTGCATAATATGAATTGTATTTCTTTATGAAAAGCAGTAAAGTGTTTTGACTAGTAAGAGCTTATGTTGTGAGTAAACAATGAAAAAGTGAGGCCGTCTTACAAAAAATATCATTAAAAAAAACACTGATATAAAAGCAATGCAGCTTTAATCAATGCATGAGGTAAAATGATAAAATATGTTTATTTTTTTATTCCAAATTCGCTTAAATGGGCTGGTCAGAGTCAACCATAGGACCTTATGTTCAAGAAAGGTTTTTAACCTGGTGGACTGGATGATGATGATCATAAATAGGAGTGTGCAAAAATATTGAAATATCAATATATAGTGTCGTTTAATGTGGTAAGACTGTATCGATATCGGGGACTGCTGTATCATCGCCAAGAGTATTTTTTGGTATATTTTACTAAATTATTTTGTTACAGCTTTACAGTTTTGTTGCTTGTTTAGAGGAAGAAAACTCGTTTATGTGACACATTTGACATATTCACTGTTTTGATGATTAAAATGGGTGTGTTTCATATGAACTTTGCACAAGAATCGGTTTAAGAAAGACTTTTAGTATCACAGCCATGATTTAGCCGTTATTTTTATTGAAACGTATCAAATCGATTTAAAATATATACAGTACTGAATTGAAAGTGCACTGTATCCAGATATGTATCGTATCATGGCCTGTATATTGAGGTATGTATCGTATCGACAACTTCTTAATGATACCCAGCCCCAATCATAAACATTTTAGTCTCAGAAGTTGTCACAGGAAAAGTTAAACTGTGTTAGGAAACATGCCATACAAGCATGACAGGCCTGTCACATTAATTATTATTTTGACTTATCTTTAAATAAGTGACAGATTGAACAATATATTTGAAAGTCAATATAGTATATTGTGTGTACATTTTCTTTGCAATAGTGCAGTTTTGTTCTGCTAGTTTGATGTAATAAGCTAGGATTTGAGCCTCAGTGGTTAACTGGCATAGGTGCAAAGTCGAGTTGATACTTTAATTCATGGTTTATTCTGCTATATATTTTTGCACCTCAGAATGCTTTTTAATGATTCTGTATTTTAAATAGTTTACTGGGATTATCCTGCTTTGTTTATCCTAGTTTCAATATTATCGTCTGTCAGGATTTTTCTCTGTTGAAATATATCCAAATTTGTTATCAAGACAGGCCTGAAGCTAGAGACACTGGAAGATCTTCAAGTTTCTTTTGCACCTTTTATTCTCAAAACCGTTAGCAGCTCTGCACCTGACTAAACCTGTAGTGTAGCCTGGTAGTGTAGTGTAGCCCTTCATTCACACTGCTCTCCCTCTCGTCTCCGTGTCGTAGCCTGGCTCTTCTCTCTCACCCACTTGAGGCTGTCACAGGAGCTTGTCAGACAGGTGCGGCCGTGTGGGGGATCTCTTATTAGAACTGACACACCTCACAGATATAACATGGCTTGTGTCAGCATAGAGCGCCCTCATTTTCATATTCATACGCCCCCGCCTCGGTCTTTTCCGACGTTTTGAAACACCTTTCCTTTCCCATCTGCTCCAGCACCTCTGAGTTCCATTTGGAGTTCAGCTGTAATTGTTTTGTGGTGATTAGTTCCCACTGACCTGTTCTCTCTCCATTACAGTCTCGGTTAGGGAGCCAGAGTGATGCCATGGCCATTCAGTCCATACGCAACGTGAGGGGGAACAGCTTCTGCGTGGACTGCGATGCACCAAGTGAGTACTGACTATGCTCGGAAAAGGGGCTAGACTTGGACTTAGACTTGGACAAACTTTATTGATCCACAAGGGAAATTATTTGGATGCTGTAGCTCATACGTCACAATTTATTATAATAACAAAGAGCAAAAATATACACTACTGGTGAAAAGTTTTAGAACACCCGGATTTTTCCAGTTATTTGTTGCAATTCAAGTCATGCAAGTCCAATGAAGAGTTTGAAATGGTACAAAGTTAAGTACAGAACAGCCAGAGGTTAAAAAAAGATTAAAGATAACAAAACATAAGTCCAAGCTCTGCCAAAACTACCTCAGGAAAAAAAAAGATGGTTAAGCTTGAAAACATGGAGTGGCCAGCACAGTCTCCAGACTTAAACCCATCCAGCTGGTTTTGGGATGAACTGGACAGAAGAGTGAAGCAACCTACAAGTGCCACACATTTATGGAAACTTCTGCAACAGACTTGGGAGGAACTTTCTGAAGAATATTTGATTTCTATAAAAAGAATGAGCCACGAGTGTGTTCAGTTGTTATATCTGCCAAAGGTGGACACTTTCATGAATCAAAAGTTTAGAGTACGCTTTGGTCAACAGAAAACAGTAAAAAACTGGAAAAAGTGTGTGTGGTGTTCTAAAACATTTGACCGGTAGTAGTGTAAATGGTAAACATAAATTAAAAATAAGTAGCAAAAATAGCAAGAGACAGGTGTCAGATAAGGTATAAATGTATATGTACAGGTAAAAGTAAAATATACAAATATATATCTCAGCTATATACAAGACGTTCTAAGGAGAAACAGTGCAAAGATTGAATAATATTATATGGGTTGTTGTACATAAAAAAAAGCTTCTGAACCTAAGACGTAGCCCTACAAACACATTTTACTATCTGTATAAAAATATATGTATACCCCTTAATGACTTACTACAAATAGTCATGAAGATTTTCCATAGTTATGTCTCATCTGCAGCATTAAACCATGACTAAAATCTAACTAAATGTCATATTTCCCTTCAGATCCAGACTGGGCCAGTTTGAACCTGGGGGCCCTGATGTGTATCGAGTGTTCGGGGATCCACAGAAACCTGGGCACGCACCTGTCTCGTGTGCGCTCCTTGGATCTGGACGACTGGCCCGTGGAGCTCAGCATGGTCATGACGGCCATCGGGAACGCCATGGCGAACAGCGTGTGGGAGGGAGCACTGGACGGATACAGCAAACCCGCCAGTGACAGCACCAGGTTAGCATGGCCCTGCTAACAGAAGTAGCGCTAACTGAACCTTACACTAGAGCCACGTCTTCTGCATTAACTGATGTTTAGAGACTTAAGACTTTAGAGATGCGAAGTGTGACTTTTCGGTTGGGGGCCCATCACCTTCTTGTTTCTATGGATATGTCATTGCTCTGCCTGAAATGTTCCACAGTATGACATTAAACAGGCAATCTGACTGTGAGTGGGGTTGCTTCTTCACAGATTTTACCTGCAGCTCGGCATGGTTTGGTCTCCATGACGATATAAAGGTTTAATACCATACTGTGAAATATTCTAGACAAAGCAATAACATCTCCGTAGACACAAACATTTGACAGCCTCTCCACCAAAAAAGTTACACAATGCACCTTTAAGTATTCAACACAAGGAAATACTTGGGTCTAAAAATGTCAATGTACAATGAAGAAAATACATGTTTAATTTAGTGGCTGTTGCTAACCCTAAAAGCCAAAGGGATGTTTCAATCTTGTCGGCACAAATCGTACTTTCCCAGTTTAATTTGGTGAATTGGTTGTGAAATAATGCGTAGATTCTTCCAATAGTTTCCTTGCACTATATGTGGCTCCTCTGTTTGGTTTTGAAAACCATAATTCATGAACATGGCGTGTGTGACAGAGTTTTGCACTTACCTGACAAATGCCCTGACCGCCTTCAAATGCATCAAGGCTGTCACTTTACGTGTTAGCGCTAATCGAGAGCAGCTCACCACTGTCTTTGTTTCTCAAGCTCCACTCTCAATACTCAAAGTTTAGGACAGTTTTTTTAGAAGTTTCTCAACCTCTTTAGCATTGTCAAAAAACACCTGAAAGTTTCATTCTTTACTTTTAGAGCCTAATAGGTGGCATTCCATCTTTTTAATATGTATCTCTTAAATTATACAGACTGGCGGCTCCCTGCCCTAACTTACTCTATGACTATCTGCTCCTTTTACTCGGAGGTACCCAGATGTGGCAGAAGGATTGTTTATCTCATGGTGACAGGTGAAACCTAGCATCCCGCTCTGACTAATGACCTGCTCTGTGGCTGTGCAGGTAATTAAGCACACCATTATGGCTTAACCCCACCCCAAGAGCCAGGCCCTCGGGCCCCAAACTGCCCTGTCACATATCCATCAGCGAGGCCCCGGTCATCACTCTACTGTCACAGAGAACCTGACTCGCGGCTGTCCCTGGTGGCTCCAGCCTCTCCACATCACAGCTTTACAGCTTTGTAACTTTGTTAAAAAGTGAAGTGGCAACACACTCTGTTGTTGTGACTTGTGCCAGTTTGGGCGCCTCCGTCTGTCACTGTCACTGTGTGTGTAGTGGAGTTGACTTGAACTTTTGAGTTTCAAGAGCCAGAGCTTATTTTAAGAGAACTGTTATTGGAAGGCAATTTTTCAACAATTCTCTCTGAGATAGTATTAACCTAAACCATTTAAGCTCCATGTACAGAATGAAGATGTTTTTCCTTTCTTTTGCTCAGCACAGATTCCTGCATCAAAGTGAAAGTTTCATCTTCTCCATTCTCTGTGCTGCTGTAACAAACCAAACTAAATCTTGACACTTGCAAGAGTGAGCAACACTGACAGGTGTCTTTCTAACTCTGGGGTTTTGCAAGGAGGAGGTATTTGTATTGTACTGTCTTTGCACTGGGGAATGTTTCATTATTCTTTGGCCATATGATAAAATTTGACTATTAGTGACATCTTTGAGGCAAACTAAGTACTAAAATTTCCATTGTTGCTGTTTATTTACTGCAGCTCGTATTTTTTAACAACATTGTTCATTTGGAATAGTTTGTGTAGTTTCAATATTATCGTTTATTTGTAATTACAGCAATATATCGCACTTCAAAATTGGTTACCGTGACAGACCTAGTTAGAACATCCTCTTATACATAATACATCCATATTTTGGTCTACCACATATAACTGTAAAATGTATAGATATAATTTTTTCCAGTACTTGTGATAAAACAGGCATCTTTCAAATGAAGTCTGAACTGCATCCTATTTACCAGTGTGAGACCAGTTCAGGGTCGATTTTTTGTTTTGAGCTGTAGATGATTTTACTTATATGAGGCAAACTAAGTACTTAAGTGTTTCATTCTGCTATTTATTTATTGCAGCTCATGTTTTTTGTTTTTTTTTTTTTAGTTTGAATATTATTGTTTCTATTTTCTTAGACCAAGCTAGAACATCCTATTACACATAATTCATACATATTTTGGTCTATGTGGTTGAACCTAATAGATTAGAACATGAATCTACCACATATAACGGTAAAATCCATGGATCTTTTTTGCAGTACTTTCAAATGAAGTGTGAATTGCGTCCCATTTGCCAGCGTGAGCCCAGTTCAGAGCTGAAGGATGGCTCACTGTAATGTATTGAATGTATCTGGTGTAAAGTGCTCCTCGCTGGACCTGATGAAACATTATTGATGTTGATTCGAGCGCAGACCACTGTCAGCTCTGTGTCCCCGGCGGCAGGGAGCTCCTTCATTCTCTCAAAATCTCATCTTTATCTCACCACAGCAGCGCCTCCATTAGCTCCCACTGTCCCGCCATAGATCTCATTTGTGCCATAACTAATCCGTACATGACAATGCCAGGTGAGGCTTTCAGTAGATTCTGCCAGTTGGACGGCCGTGGTCATCTAGAGGAATTTTTATTGTACCTTGATCAATATTTTACGGATATGATTTGTGTAAAGTAAAAATATTTGTAAGTAGAGATATTTAGTAAGAAGAGGAGACGCAGACAAAATTTCAAAAACTACAAATGAAACAGCCTCAGAAATGGCAGACATATTCTTTTAATGGTTATCAATCTATTTTTTTAATAGCTTTTTATTGTTTCATAGCAACATATAGTAAAAAAGTAAGCAAGTAAGTAAGTAAGCAAGACCATTCAGTTAAGTTGTATATTTTTTCAGTTATGTGTTTAGATTGGATTGAATTCATCAGGATTAAGCCCACAAGATTTTTAATTGCAAAATAAATTGAAATTGCAATTCTGAATGATTCTGAGGATTACAGAAATCAGCTAAAATTTTTTATGATGATATTAATATTGTGTATATTACTTGCTCACATTGTAGGTTAGACCTTAACAAGCTACTACTACTACTACTACTACTACTACTACTACTACTACTACTACTACTACTACTACTACTACTACTACTACTACTACTACTACTACTACTACTACTACTACTACTACTACTACTACTACTACAACTACTACAAGCTAGCTAGATTTGTGTAAATTTAAAATAAGTAGAGATATTTAAAAACTACAGACAAAAACTACAGACAAAACACAGCCACAGAAATGACAGACATTTTTTAATGGTTATCGATTTTTTTTTTTAAATTTTTATTATTGTTATAGCTTTTTATTGTTTCATACAATATATAGTAACAAGCCTTTTTACTTAAAAAAAAAAAAGTAAGCAAGGCCATTCAGTGAAGTTCTGTGTTTAGATTGTATTGAATTAAAATAACCATGTATCAGGATTAAGCCCACAAGATTAATTGCAAAATCAATTGAAATTGCAATTCTGAATGATTCCAAATACAAAATCACAAAAATCAACAAGATTTTTTATGATGATATTAATATTGTGTGTATTACTTGCTCACATTGTAGGTTAGACCTTAACAGGCTGCTATTACTACTACTACTACTATTACTACTAACTACAAACTAGCTACTCCTCCCTTACCATCTTGTTGTAGCTAAAGCACATTTGTCGTGTATTTTAATTGCGTCAGAGCAGAGACATGTGGTCCCTCCTTGATGGCGCTGAGGCAGGCTCTTTCTGTGGCTCCTGCCTCGTGCTAAACATTAGTGACACATAATCTAAACGACTGAGTAACTACCTGCATATCAACTCCGCCTCTGATTGAATGTCTCCTGCAAGGCTAGCTTCACATTTCTGAGACATTTTACTTAAAGGCATCCATCCACAAGATTGGTTTAGCTTATGATATTCTGCATAGAGAGAGGAGACAATATCTGGAGTTGTCGCGTGCAGATGTGTGGCTGTGATTACAATAATGAGAATGGGGCGTGCGAAAGATCGGATTGTCTGGAAGTCTTTTTTTTTTCTTTTCTTTTCTTTGCTCCGTCATCCTCGTGTGCACTCCGCTTTTGGTTGTTCTTTTAATTAGCACCTAGCAGTCGTCATGTTTAGCACAGTGGCCCTAATTGGTTGACGTAAAGCTGATAATAAACAGACAAACTGAAAGTGAAAATGTTCAACATATTTATTGCTGTTAGTCTAATTATAGTTGTCCAATGAATTATAATTTTATTTCCATTATATAAACATCTGTAGGCTTCAAAAGCAGGAATTTAATTGAATAATTTTTTTTTTATTATTATTATTAAATATTTGTATTGAGAAATCACAGTGTATCTATACAAGATTTACAGATCTTAATTTTTTTCCTTTAGATTTTCCTTATTTGCAAACCGTGCCTCTTGTGTTCTATATGGAATGGCTTTAATAGTGATAAAATCCACAACTGCAATAATAGTACAAATTTTACAAACATAATAAAGGAAATTAAGGATTTTTTTCTTAATTATTCTTAAGGTTCAATTCTATGATATTATATGTAGGGCACTACATACGTATTAGTAGCACTAATTATAAAGTTAACTTGTCCTAATCCAGTTCCATTTTGATAATTTGACAAATATAATTTTGCATTTTGAGTTTGGATTCTCAAGTTGATTTTCCAATCAGAATGCAGAATGAGCTTTACTCTTTTGAACTGCCAAAGCCTACGACTAAACCATTTTGTCTCTCTTTGATATGATGCTTCCTCAGTATGTAAACAATAAATAGCATCTCTGGTTCAGTTGTGATTCAGTGCAGTTTTTAAACCAGTAGGAGCTCATGTTATAATTATTATGTAAATCACTCCCAGGTTTCACAATAATGTCAATATATGACAAGTACAGTAATGAAG